ATGTATAAGTGAGTAAAATCAGTCATTCTCCCTTTTTACCTGTTTATTAGGACTCCTGGGGGTCCATAGGAATTTTTTTACTCATGAACTCAATATTTAGATTTGTCAATTTATCCGGCCATCCTCATACTCTGTCCGGTAATGGGCGCCAAATACCATCAACTCGATATCCCGTCCAGTATAAGGTGAACCATATATTTAAAACCCTTCCGGTATGGGACTTCTTAGCCCCGTACGACTGAGATAATGTCCATAGTAAGGTTCTCTATGTACCAGGTCTATCCACCATTTCCTAGGGTACCTAGTAAGCTTCCATATATATAGATTATCATCGTCCAAATAACTACCAATTGCATATCAGCGTCTCATTACATATTCACATATTAATTTAAACGATTTCTAAGCAAACGATACAATTTAACATAATCGAATAACTAAGTAACCAGATAACCAAATAAACAGTACAAGAAAAACTAAATAAACAAAGTAACCGAGAACACAATTTTAAACTAGCAATTTAATGCACATAATAAACAGTAAACATCTTAAACAACACAGGAAGAAATAAACAGTAAACTAGGACAATCGTACATTGATCAGTTCCGACTCCATTAGTGACTTATAATTATTGTTAGAGTTTTTCTAATTTTCACAAAATACAGAATTATTGATTATTAAACATCAATTTACCGTAACAGAGAAAAAGGTGAGGGATTCATACCCCGATTGGTATTTCGAAACGTCGTACTATCTATTACGTCTACTAACAGGTCCCAGATTTCTTGAATTTTCTTTGCAAAAATTAAAATAATCGTTACATACCTAAAAATACCCCCAAAAAAATAAAAAAAAAATCGAACATTCCTGCAGGAGAGGTCTCCAGGTGCGGCAACTCCACTGCTTCTTCTTCACGGGTGAGGTTTCTTCTTCGGCTAACATGCACAGAAAAGGATGGTGAATACAATGGTCGAAAAATTATGTGAAGCAGAAAACAGGAAGGGGATCATCAGAGAGGATTTAAGATTTTGGTCACGGCGACTCCATCGGGCTTTACTTGCAGTTTTCGGTTCACCAGTCGTTCTTTTTACTCTGATATGGCCATATGAAGGCTCGAAATTGAATTCCGAGCACAAATGAGAAAATTTTACCTTTTTTGATGGTCAGTGGTGGCTCTAGTGCAGCGGCGGCTGGGGATCTCCTTCTCCGGCATCTGGTTCTTATTCTCCGGCGAGGGCTGGACGGCTAGGATTATGTTCTCCTATGATGCAATATTTAAATACCCATCCCATGTCGATTTGAGCCGTCCGTTCAGTCGATGTAGAGCGAGGAGAGTCATCTGATCGTTGTCCATTTAGCATATTGCATGGACGAATCTGGGCCGTTCATTGCAATTGATCTCGTCTGTTCAATCGCGTCTAAA